GCTGTGCATGGGGTCGCTATGAGTTAGAAACGACTCAACGGCACTTAACAACAACAGCAACAACAACAATTATGTACTTTATGCAAAAGTAATCAAAGTATTTTTTTGCAGTAGAAATGACGTTTTCTGTGTTTCATTGGAACTTTTTCTTTTTTAATTTGGAAAAATAATACATGCAGATGGTTTCAATGAGATGGTTCTAAAGGTGTTACAATGAAAAATGAGTGATCCTCTATCCTCTAACTATAGACTCTTAGTTCCTACCCAAAGGCAAACAGTTTCTACTTTTTTCTCTTCGAGATATAGTCTGTGGATATACAAATATAAAAACTCACTGCTGTCGGCTTGGATCCAACTCATAGTGACCCCTCCTTGGGTTTCTGAGGCAGTATCACTACAGAAGTAGATTGCCCAACCTTCTTTCCGAGGAGTAGCTGATGGGTTTGAACTGCCAGCCTTCTGGTTAGCAGTCAAATGCCTTAGGCACTACACCACCAGAGCTCCTATACAAATGTAAAGATCCTTCAAAAATAAATATCAATAGACATTTCATTTTAAGAACAAATTACAATGTAATTATTTAAAAAATTGAAAACAAAAGATTTTTTGAAGACCAGATTAATACGTTTTCACCTCTAATCCTTTGTGAAGTGAGATGGTATATGTATATATATATATATCTATTTTCTAGTGTTAAGTCCTCATACTATAAGATATTTAAAATAGACATTCCCAAATTTAAATTTAAAATCTTCTTTACTCTTAGTTGGAATTAGAAATACCATTTGACCCAGCAATTCCATTACTAGGTATATATCCTAAAGAAGTGAGAGCCAGGACAAGAACAGATACATGCACACCCATGTTCATCACAGCACTATTTACAACAGCAAAAGGATGGAAACAACTTGGGTGCCCATCAACAGAAGCATGGATAATCAAACTGTGGTACATACACACAATGGAATACCATGCAATCCTAAAAAATAATGTAGAATCTGCAAAATGCCACGTGGCGTAGATGTACTTGGAGGACATGCTGAGTGAAATAAGTCAGTCATGAAAGGATAAATATTGTATTAGTCCGTTATTGTAAAAAGTCAAGGAAAGGTTTGTCTGTGGAAGGAAATTTTCTTTGTTGGTTACCAGAGATGGGAAGAGAGGGGAGGGAACACTACTAGATAGGTAGAGACAAGTATTGATTTGGGTGAAGGGAAGGGCTATGTACCAAATGTGAGAGATCAACACAATGGCACTGAGGAAGAGGAAGACATAGAGAGGTGCATGGAAGGTACAGACAACAAATATGAACCCTTTTGCACATACAGTACTGCATTGTCAGTTAAGGCAATGTTGATTTATGGGTGGATAGATGGGTGGACAGGCTGAACTATTAGGTATGTCTGTGCAGAGTGTAGTGTGCCCATGACCATGTATAGGATTGGCAGACAATGTTTCTACAAGTATATTTGTAAAGGGACAAGCTTGTAGTCACTTCTTGGCCATAGCCAACAACCCAGAGGGAGCGAGCAGTTGGACCTATGGCCTTGGGACCATGGTCGCAGGGGACATCAAGCTCAATTGGCATAACATACTATACAAAAACATTGTTTCACATCCTACTTTGGTAGCGAATGGGATCTTAAAGGCTTGCAAGCGGCCATCTAGATGCAATGATGGGTCTCTCTTTATCCAGAGCAAAGAAGAATGAAGAAAACCAAAGACACATGGAAACAATTAGTCCAAGAGACTGGTATACCATGTGATCCTCAGCCTATATGACTATGAGACCAGAAGAATTAGATGGTGCCTGGCTACCACTGCCAACCACTTGGAGGGGGATCTATGTAGGAGATCCTGGACAGAATAGGAGAACAGTGTAGAACAAAACTCAAAATCATTAAAAAAAAAAAAAAGGGGGGACCAAGTTTGCTGGTCTGATAGAACCAGATGGAACCTCTGAGTTTATGGCTCCTAGCTGCCCTGGAATTGAACCTACTCCTGTGGCTTCCAGCCAAACAAAAAGACAGGCACATGAGCTGAACATTTGCATTAGGTAGATACACTCCTTGGAGAGATCAATCATGGGAGAATAGAAAGGTTCTGTACTCACAGGGAGACAGCTCGAGGGGCAGGAGTGAATGGGAGGAAAGGATACAGAGAGGAGGGGACTATGGAGAGGAAGTGGGAGGGGAGTTGTTGCATTGTGGGAAATTGTAGTCAGTGTCATGAGACAAAGTGTATGTGAACTGCTTTGTGGAAAACGAATTTGCTCTGTAAATGTTCACCCAAATCACAATAAAAATTTTTTTAAAAATATTCTTTACTCTTATAATATCCCTTTAATACTTTTACTAGCCAGCAATTTAAGTCTGTCCATTCCAAATAGCTTACCATTTCTTTATTCAATATTGGCATGATACAAAATTACACTGTTTACCTTAAATGATAGGTCAATTTATTTCCTACTTGATTATCAATTTTTATTAACATAGTCTTTCTTACTCATTATAAAGGGATATTTATATATAAAATTGGTTAAAACTTTATTGCAATATACTAGGTTTACAATTATGTAATATGATTCTTATAAACAAAAATTGCTTTCTCTCCACTACAGAAAACTTGAGGATATTGTCATTAGGAAGAAACAACATAAAGAACTTAAATGGACTGGTAGGTTATTATTTATTGCTTAAAAATAAACACACATACTTTTTTTCTTAGTACGAAAATAATGCTTGTATATTGTGGAAGTTTTACGAAATAGAACTATAGAAAAGTAAACCACTGGTGATTCTGATGTGATTTACAACTTCTTGTAGTCAGTGAAATCATACTGTATGTATTGTTTCATATCTCCTTTGTTACTTGAGATAAAATAATCATTTTTCCATGTCATTCATTCTACAAATTCATTCAGAGTATTTCCTGAATACCTACTTAAGCCAGGATTGGTTAGGCTGGAGGTACAGCAGAATACAATGCAAAGTCTTTGCTCTCATACAACTTCCATTATGATAGAGGAAGACATACAAAAATAATTGAGTAATATATCAGATGGGATGAATGCGAAGAAGGAAAATGAGGCAAAATAAAAGAGAAGTTGTTTCTGGGGAAGTGAGGATGCAGGCTATGCAGTTGATTGAGGCATAAGTGCTCCAGACTGAGGAGACAACACGTACAAAGGTCCTGAAACTGGATCCATTTGGTATACTTGTATATAAGCAAAGGGTATTGAATGAGAGAAGGAGAGTAGTCCTCAATGAGTTGGAGAGGGAGCCAGGAACCAGGCCACATAAGGCTCAATAGAGCACAATAAGAGTTTTAGATTTTTTTTCCAAGTGGGTTGCAAAGCTTTTGGAGGTTTTTGATCATAGGATTTAACTTAAGTTTTTAAAATACTTTTGAACATGCCCTTTTTTAATGGCAGCATAATATTCTGTTTTATCAATGTACTATAATTTATTTAAACCATTTACTTATTGTTCAGTATTTAGTTTGTTTCCAGTTTGTAGTTATTATAATCAATGCTGTTATGAATCTCCTTTTAGCTATATTATTGCACACATCCATGAATAATTCCTTGGATAAATTTCTAGAATGGAATTGCTGGGTCAAAAGGTATGCATTTCTTTAAGGCTTTTGTGACATATTATCAATTTTAGTATATGTGCTGCCAAAGCCAGCACTGTGACATATTATCAAGTTGCTCTGTGGAAAGATTATAATATTTTTATGCTACCATCAATAATGGATAAGGGTCCCCATTTCCCTTAACAGCTGTGGGTATTTAAAATTTTTAAAAGTCTTTGACAGTATGTTTTATTTGTATATTTATTGGCCATTGTATTTCTTTCCAAAGAAGAGATAGAACAACATTGTAAAACTAGGCATGATTTCAGGAAGGATGAACCTAATTTCCTATTCTTATAATTGTTCCAAAAAGACAATATATTTTCTTTAAAAAGTATATATTATTAAAGAATTCATGAAAATTCTGAATTTTTTTATGGTTCCCACAGTCTTTCCTCCTTCCCTCCTGCTTGTGTTTCATGAAGAGCGAGTGGGGTTGAAACTGCAGTCATTGTCAACAATAACCTCCCAAGACCAGAAGGCTACCATTACATTACAATGATCATGTACCATTACAGAAACAATTATAATACCCGAATAGGGATCATTGTTAAGTACAATTTCAGAATCATCATGTTAAAATGAACAAATCATCTGCTCCTCTCTGGATGATACTTCCTTCTACATGCCAATTTACTCATATAAAGTGTTAGTAATAAATTTATAAAATACTCCAAAATTCTTTAGGATTAGATTAGATTCTGGAATCAAATAAAGGAATTTTCTTTCCTCTCAACAGTAATCAGCAGGTGAATTATTAGCTTTCTAATTAGATTTGATGGGTAGAATCCTTAATCTGTAAAAATTTGATTTTTTTTAATGTTCTAAATACATTGATAAATTTAAGGATATTTTGGCTTCTCTCTATTCTCTGAGCCTTAGGTGATAAAAAATTTTCAGTATAGTGACATTATTCGTAATGTCCTAAACCAAAACCAAACTCCCTGCCATGGAGTTGGATCTGACTCATAGTGTCTCCTCCTTGGGTTTCCGAGGCAGTATCACTACAGAAGTAGATTGCCCAACCTTCCTTCCGAGGAGTGGCTGGTGTGTTTGAACTGCCAGCCTTCTGGTTAGTAGTCAAATGACTTAGGCACTATGCTACCCTACAAGCCATAATGTCAGTGCTACAAGTTATTGTAGTACAAAAAATCAGCATTTTTTTTTTTATACTCCAGGCTAAATATTACCTTGAAACATCTATAAAGCAAGCATTTGCAAATAAATGTACCCCAAGATTTTTAAGGTCAATATGGCAAATGCATGCTGTTCCCAGGCACGTACAAAACCTCAGTTCTCAAATACTACGATGTTATATAACTTCTTGCATGAAATTTAATATGTAAGTAGAGACAACAAAGAAATTATATAGGCGTTAAGGCATGTATGAGATACTGTCTTACTGAACTATCACTTCCTTAGGTCTCTCACTTTCTATAGACTCCTATCAATAGCATCTGATTGTTGGTTCTTGTTCCATGGTGTGTGTCTGTGTGTATATATGCATTCACCAAAAAAATTTACCAGTCTAAAAGTTTATGCATAGACTATACTTACTCATAGACTAAAGAAAAATAATGCTGCCCACCAAGGCAGATACTGGGCTTCAAATGGGTTCACATACTGGATAAAGTGTTCATCAAGATACACCAGCCACATCACATCATTTAAATAGCTGCCTTAGTAAATTACAAATTATTTCCATAGTATGTGAAACAGAATGTTCAACTGAAAGAAAAGTGTTTCTTTAAAACTGCTTAGGAAAACTGACTTCTTGTTATTGTTATGTGCCATTTAGTCGGACCTGACTCATAGCGACCCCTCCTTGGGTTTCTGAGGTGGTATCACTACGGAAGTAGATTGCCCCATCTTCCTTCCGAGGAGCGGCTGGTGGGTTGAACCCCCAGCCTTCTGGTTAGCAGTCAAGTGCCTTAGGCACTATGCTAAACTGACTGGTAAGGTATATTTTAAGCCCATTCATATATTTGATCTGGCCTCAGCCCTCCTTTCTGATCTCATTGCATGTTATTCTTCTCCCTAGTTAGAAATCTCTGACTGCTGGCCTTCTATATTTTTTCACATTGCTAGCTCTTTCTTAACTTTCACATTTCAGTACAGATGTCACCTCCTCAACACAAAAAGCCACTACTGTGGAGTTGATTCTAATTCACAGAGACCCTATAGGACAGAGTAGAACTGCCCATAGGGTTTCCAAGGCTGTAAATCTTTACAGAAGCAGATTGCTTCATCTTTCTCCCACAGAGTGGCTGATGGGTTCAAACCATCAACTTTTTGGTAAGCAGTCAAATACTTCAGCCACTGTGCCACTAGACCTCTTTCACCTCCTCATAAGCGAACCTGTATCTAAATTCTTATTCTCTTTCTTTCTCTCTGTCTCGCACGTAAACACAAGTCCAAATTCTGCTTTATAAAGGCAATGACCATATCAGTTTTGTTCATTGGCATCTGCAGTAGTGCTTGGCATGTGTAATAGGCACTCAATAAATACTGAGTAACTCAATGTATTTTATTATAATTACAAAACTACTGTTTAAGTTTTACTTCTAAAAGTAATACATATTCTTTATAAAAAACAAATCAAGCAATTTGTATGTATATGAAATAAAAAATGAAAGCCTTTCCCTACCTACCATTCACACTCACTGAAGTAACCACTATATTTTTGTATATTTAAACTTTTTTTCTGCCTATACAAATAGATATCTATGTATATATACATATGTGTTTTATATGTTTGTATTGATATTATACAAGGCATATTCTTTCTGTAATTTAACTTTTTCACTCAATATCAGAACAGTATAACAGCATATCCTTCCATGTCAATATATGCAGTTTAATGTATTTTTCATTGTACAATACATAAGTAACAAAGCATTTCAACATTTTTTACATGTACAATTGAATGACATTGATCATGTTTGTCATGTAGTTCAATCATCATGTATTTGTTTCCAGATTTTTCTGTCACTCTTAACAGAAGCTCAGAGTCCCTAAGCAAAGAGGCTTTCTTTTCCCCCTCCATCCCACTTTCCCATTTGATTTCTTTTCATAGTATCTACCTCTTTATTTGGGAGCTCTGGTAGCATAGTGCCTAAGGCACTTGACTGCTAACCAGAAGGCTGGCGGTTCAAACTCACCAGCCACTCCTCAGAAGGAAGGTTGGACAATCTATTTCCATAGTGATATCGCCTCAGAAGCCCAAGAAGGGGTCGCTATGAGTCAGGTCCAACTCGATGGCAGATAACAACAACAACAACCTCTTTATTTAAATTATCATTTTATTTATGTATTATTTTCCTGATTTCCTTTAGTTCTTTGTCTGTTTTTCCTTAGTTCTTTGACTTTGTTTTACATGGTTTTATTACATTCTTCTCACTGTTCATTATTCAGGCTTCCATAAATACAGTTTCTTTTCCTTTGTCTTATTTACTTGGATGGGCCATAATTTCCAGTTTCTTCATGTGCCTTGTTATTTTCTGTTGCATCCAGGACATGAAAATTGTATAAGGTGTTGGCTGTCTCAATTCTCCCAAGTATTTGTTATTTTTGACAATGCTACTTTCTTTAAGAAACTCTTAGGTAAGCAGAGCCTTCACACTTTGCTTGCTGCTCCTCTCCCTTTCTTTGATAAATGTTTCAGTCCAAAGTTGAAACTAAGCAGTTGTCCTCCAGCAGTTCCCAAAAAGAATAGAGATTGATGCATACTAATCAATCTACCTTCCAGGGAGTGCAGCCTTCAGTCTAGTTATTGTTCTCTCAGGGCTGCGTTTCTGTCTTTTAGCAGCACTTAGGCTGCTCAGAAAGAGCCTGGTTGGCGTCAATGATTTGTGCTCACCTACTAACCTAGATATGGAGCTCTGGTAGCATAGTGGCTAAGGCACTTGCCTGCTAACCAGACGGCTGGCGGTTCAAACCCACCAGCCACTCCTCGGAAGGAAGGTTGGGCAATCCTACTTCCGTAGTGATACTGCCTCGAAAACCCAAGGAGGGCTCGCTATGAGTCGGGGCCGACTCAACGGCACATAACAACAACAACAACAACTAACCTAGAGGTTAGTGGTTTGAACCCACCCAGCAGTGCCATGGCAATCTGCTTCTGTAAAGAACACAGCCAAGAAAACCCTATTGAGCAGTTCTACTATGTACCACACAGGGCTACCTAGGTCAGAATTGACTCGAGGGCAACAACCTTTTTTTTTTTTTTTTTTAAACCTAGTCAGAAAGCCAGTGCTGTATGAACCTGAATGAACCATCCTTCTGCAGAGGAAGTCCCCATTTGCTACTCCGTCTCCTGCTCCATGAGAAAAAAACAAAACAAAACAAACTCACTGCGTGGAATTGTTCTGACTCAGAGAAACCCCTCCTTGGGTTTCCAAGGTGGTGCTAACCCTAACCCTAACCTGCTCCGTGAGGGCCCTCTTATCTCAGAGCTGGAGCTCTGGGCCCTTCTCTGTGCTCAGGCAAGCTGTGGGTAGACTGGGACTGCAGCAGCCATCTATCTGCTGTGCTGGGAGGGGCAAGGGCGGGCACACCCAAACAGACCACCAGGGAGACCTTTCCTATTTATTTTGTAGACAGATTGTGAGGCCCTTCCCTGTTCACAGGTGAGCTGTATGTTGGCTGGAGTACATGCCACTGCAGTTGTCTGTGGAAACCAACCATTTTACTGCCTGGAGTGGGAGGGGCTAAGACAATGGAAGAAGCACTTTTCCTATTGTATGAGATTCAAAATTGACTTGGCTTCATCTCCAGCTATTTGCTGCTGTTGTCTACCCACTGATTCAGAATCCCACAGGACTGTGCACAGACTTAGCATTACATTTCCTGGTGTATGTCTGGGGAAAGTTGGAAACCTAGACCTGTTCACACTGTTATTTATCATCCCAGATAATTACTTTTTTAATTACTGCATAGTTTTCCATAGTATCAGTATACAACAATGCATTTAACTATTTCTATGCTACGGGACATTTAGATTATATCCAGTGTTGTTTTGGGAAGGGGGCCTTTTCTTTTTTTTGCTATTGCAAATCATGCTGCAGTGAACATCCTTGCATACATATCCTTCTACACTTATTTGGGTATTTACTCAGGATGCCTAAAAGAAGACATGCTGAAGATATATGTGTATTAAATTTTTGATATGTACATGAATTACTTTCATGATACTTAGGCCAGTTTCCATTTTCATCAATGGTGTATAAGTGAGGATTATACCCTCTCCCTTCAACATCACTGATTATTATCCATATTTTTAATATTTGCAAACATGATGGGCAAAAATGATACTGTATTGTTTTGATATGTAGTCACATCAGTTGTAACTTTGGACATCTTTTTATACATTTTGCTATACATTATACATTCTTGAAAATTTACCAAACATATTTTTTGCCCATTTTTATAGTTGCTTTACTATTGAATTCTAGGCACATTTTAGTATTACCAATAATTATCCATTATTGAAAATGTTATTACTATTGCTATTGTTGTTGCTGTAGTTATTAACTATATACCAGGTTTTTTACATGTATTATCTCATTTCAAACTCACAGCAGGTAGATATTATTATCCTTATTTTAAGATAAGGAAACTGAGACTTAGATAGTTATTAATGTGTCCAAGTATACTGAATAGACACTCTTAAACACTGTTGCTGAGTTGACTGGTTCAACTTCTTCAGTGGACAGTTTGTCGATAGTATTACAGTTTTAAATGTGCATGCACTTTGTCCCAACCATTGTATATCTGGGAGTTTTTCATACTCATACACATGGACAAAGTATGTTCATTGCAATATAGCTTGTACGAAAGATTGCAACTACCTACCTGTCTATCACTAGTGGATTACTTAAAGAAATTCATACTGTTCATCCAGGAAAAAAATCTAGCATCTAGGGAAAAAAATCAGACAGGATTTACCTATATTTGCAGAAATATGATAATTTGCAAGATACATTGTTAAGTGGAAAAAAGCCAAATGGATATTTATATGCACATATGTGCAGAGAATGTTTCTGACAGCTGTTACTTCTGGGGAAGGGAACTGGAGGTTTGGGATGAGAAAATGAGTTCTCTCCTTATGCTTGTTCTTGCTGTATGATTTTTATAAGTTTGTGTATTAGCTTTTTAATTTCAAAATCTGATTATTTCTTCCCCCAAAAAATACAAGCAAATAATCCTAAAGCCACACATTAAAAAAAATGAGGAAAGTGGAGAAGGCAGCATGAAAGGGGAAGGGGAAAAGAGGAAGAGGTAGAGGACGTCACACAAGGTAGTCAGACTTGGGCAGTCTGATTGCAGATTCCACACCACCATTTAATGCAAACAGTTTTCAGAATTATTGAGTGTAATTTCTTTTAGTTTATCACTTGTCTTTTAACTTTATTCATAGTTGCTGTTGTTGTTGTTGTTTGCCGTCGAGTCGGCCCCGACTCATAGCGACCCCTCCTTGGGTTTCCGAGGCAGTATCACTACGGAAGTAGGATTGCCCAACCTTCCTTCCGAGGAGTGGCTGGTGGGTTTGAACCGCCAGCCTTCTGGTTAGCAGGCAAGTGTCTTAGCCACTATGCTACCAGAGCTCCCATTCATAGTTGCTATATGGAGATTTTTTAATTTTTACTAGTCAAATCTGTATGACTGGTGCTTTATATCTTACATAGAAGATCTTATCTGCTTCCAGAATGTAAAAATAGTCTTATATATTCTTCTGGTGCTTCTATAGGGTTTTAGGTTTCAATTTTAAGTTTATACCTTGAATCCATCTGTAGTTTAGTTTTACATGTCCTTCTACACTTATTTGGGTATTTACTTAGGATGCCTAAAAGAGCAGGTATCACACTTCTTTTTTTTCTTAATTTTCTTTTTCTCCAAATTCCCATGTACTGAAAAGTCTCTCTTTCCCAACATTTGGAAATCTGAACTCCCCTGTAAGGTAGCTTCTTGGATGGCCAAATTTCTTTGTGTTTGTTTTTCTACTTGTCCCAGCTCTAATATCATGCTGCTTTAATTTTCTTTAGCTTTACAATGTGTTTTGATATCCGTTGGGACAGGTCCTCTCTTTTTTCAAAATATATGGAGCTTTTCTTGAGCATTTACTCTTTAAGAGAAACTTAAGAATCAATTAATCAAGTCATAAAAAAAATATCCCATTGAGAGTCTTAGTAGAGTTACATTAAATTCATAGATTGACTTGGGGAAAACTGATGTCTTTATTAAAACGAGTCTTCTTTTCAGGAAGATTTATTCAGATTTTTTTTAATGTTCTTCAGTAGAATTTTATAGTTTTAATTTCTATAATTTTAAATTTTAATTTAATTTCATATATAAGAAATGCATTCCTGGGTTATTTATAGATTTTGTTGAGGTCATTTTTCTCTAATAACTTCCTCTTTATTGCTGGTTTATAATATAAAAGCTATTTACTTTTTAATTTTTACTTTGTAATCAATTATCTACAAACAGTTCTTAAGTCTTTATGAAGCAGATCTCCTTAAAGACTTCTAAGTAATGTTGTTATCTGGATTCATCTTATATACAAAGCAAACAGTAGTAATAATCTGTAATTTTAAATGGCCCAAAATAGGGAGCTTTTACAATACTTAGTAAAACCCTTTTCACTTCTGTAACCTCCATCATTATACTATTCACAAAGCAGATACTTTTTGTTTTCAATACTCATAATGGATTGTTAACCTTAAAGAATTGCAAATTTTAAGAGCTGAAAGTGACCTTAGAGATCTTGTTCAATCTCCTCATTTTACAGAGAAAGAAACTGGGAGGAAAATGATTTGTTCACGTGCATAGTAATTGGCTGAACGCCTTTTCATCCAAGCTCCAGTTCTCCAGAGGACCAATTTATTGAAGATTCACTAAACTGATTGACACAAACTTAGCCAGATTTTATTGATTGCTATCCACCAGAGCTCTGGTAGCATAGTGGCTAAGGCACTTGACTGCTAACCAGAAGGCTGGCGGTTCAAACCCACCAGCCACTCCCCGGAAGGAAGATGGGGCAATCTACTTCCGTAGTGATACTGCCTTGGAAACCCAAGAAGGGGTCGCTATGAGTCGGGTCTGACTCGACGGCACATAACAACAACAACAACAATCCACCAGATAGATTCATTAAAAACTCGTCTTTATTACCTACTTAGAAATAATATGGAGTCCCTGGATGGTACAAATAGTTAAGTGCTGGACTACTCGCTGAAAGACTAGTGATTCAAACCCTCCTAGAAGTGCCTTGGAAGTAAATGCAGTGAGCCCTCCTACTAGAATGTATAAAAAAGTAATTTGAAAACTATACTATTCAAGAAAAGTGGTAAAACAGTACTGTTATTTCTGCTTTTGATGATTTCAGTAGCGATTCTTAAAATAATGCTCTGTGAGTTTTAGCTTAGTGAAACAAACTTAGAGAAGAAAAAGTCCAAATCAATGTAAAGAGTGGATGAGACTGTTCTATTTGGCTTCCTTAATGAGACAAAACTCCCACACACCCTTCAGCTTTCCTGCAAATGGGGTCTCAGTTTTCTAGGAAGGCTATTGTCTATAGATGTTTATAAGGAAGGAGACAGAGGAAAAGCTTAAAAATAAGCATATAAATAAGATTGCTTTCTTTTGCAGGAAGCAGTGGGGGACACATTAGAAGAACTGTGGATATCCTACAATTTTATTGAGAAGTTGAAAGGGATCCATGTAATGAAGAAATTGAAGATTCTCTACATGTCTAATAATCTAGTAAAAGACTGGGGTAAGCTGAGACTGGCTCTTTGCTTGCCTTCTACCTCTTGCTTATAGAATATAGCTCAACAAGCAGAAAGATGCAAAATGGGAGTATTTTTTTGTAAGCACAGAGAGAAGTAGGTATAGGGGGTTCCTACATTTCCGCTAAATGCTTGATGTTTACATTTAGATATTTACTTAGAATGAATGTAATTACATAAGCTTTGGTCCTCTTAAAAATCATGACAAATTTAAAAATTATTGTCAAAGGCTGAAAGGAACCAATTTAAATTGAATAATTCTTGTTATTAAATTTGAAAACTTATTTGATATTACTTTGTGGGGGTATTTTTGTCAGTATTTTGTTTTTAATTTTGCCATTGTTGAGATTTACACAACAAAACATATACCAATTCAACAGTATCTACATGTACAATTTAGTGACATTGATTACATTCTTCAAGCTGTGCAACCATTTTTATCCTCTTTCTGAGTTGTTCTTCCCTCATTAACATAAGCAGCTCTGGTGGCATAGTGCCTAAAGTATTTGACTGCTCAAACCCACCACTCGGAAGGAAGCTTGGGCAATCTACTTCCATAGTGATAATCCCAAGGAGGGGTCACTATGAGTCGGATCTGACTTGACAGCAGTCAGTTTGGTTTGGTTTTAAGGTTCTGATCTAATCTTTTGAATTGCTGTTGTCAATTTGATCCCATATACCTAGATTTTTAAAGAGCATAATGCTTGAGCCAAATCTTCTTTGCTTAGCTTTTCATTCAGCATGTAGTAAAGCCCTCATATGTGCCATGAGCTATGCCAGGCTCTTGAGATACAGAGTTGAGTATGACCTATCACAACCCTTAAGGAGTTCACAACTTAGGAGAAAAAAAAATCAATTTATTAACTAATAATTATAAAATTGTGTTAGATCTACAGGAGAGGTTTGAATGAATTACTCTAAGAATTCAAAGATGACTGAGTAGTATTCCATTGTATGTAGGTACTGCATTTTGTTTATGCATTCCTCTGTTGATGGGAATTGAGGTCATTTCTACCTTTTGGCAATTGTGAGTAGTGATGCAATAAACATTATGTACAAGTCTCTTTTTTCTCTGCTTCAGATGTTTTGGGTATATACCTAGGAGTGTCAACAGGAGAAATGAAGTCTCGATACATGCTACAGTATGAGTGGAGCTTAAAGACATTATACTGAGTGAAATAAGCCAATCACAAAGGGACAAATATTGTATGACCTCACTTATATAAAAAGACAAGACCAAAAGAATGAGACCGAAGTTTATTAGTGATTATCAGAGGTAGGAGGGATGGGGTAAAAAGAGGTAACTGAAATATCACATTGATTAAGGGTAGAATTCCACCACTCATCTGTCAGTTGTCACACTGGTGGCTTGCATGTTGCTATGAGGCTAGAGGCTGTGCCACTGGCATTTCAAATCCCTTTAAGGTCATTCATGGTGGAGAGGTGTCAGCAGACCTTCCAGAAAAAGACAGACTGAGAAGAAGGATGGAGCTATCTACTTCTGAAAAACTTGGCCAGGGGAAACTTTTTGAATAGCAGTGAAACACTGTCTGATATATTACTGGAAAACTTTATGATAGCCCTGAAACATTATCTGATATAGTGTCAGAAGATGAGCCCATCAAGTTGGAAGGCACTCAAGGTATGACTAGGGGGGAGCTGCCTTCTCAAAGCAGAGTTGACATACTTACATGGATAGAGTAGAACTTTCAGGACCTCCATTCGCTGATGAGTTACAACTCAAAATGGAAGAAACAACTTCAAACATCCATTAATAATTAGAACATGGAATATATGAAGTGTGAATCTAGGAAAATAGAAAGTTGTCAAAAATGAAATAGACAGAGAAGCCCAGGAGGAAGAATTCAGAGACACCTGTTAGAATCTGTGGCTTCATCAACCTGAGATAACTTTTGGAAAAAGAAAAGAGGATTATTAAAAGGAAATAAGTGAATAGGCAGCAAGCACTGTCTATGTTTTGAATTAAAAAAATTCAAAGTAAAGTGTTCATATTTGAAGACCAAATACCTCAGTACCATAAGGAATAATCCTTAATTGTAGCAACCCATTTGCTCAGAACTGTTCTTTTTTTTTTTTTTTTTTAGGATTTGGGTGAAGATTTACAGAGTAAATTCACTTTTCATACAGCATCAGAACTGTTCTTATGGTGTCTTTACTATTCTTCTATTTCTGTACACACTCCCTTTATTTTATTAATTTAATTTTAATTGTAGTTGGAGTGAAAGTGTACAGAATAAAGTAGTTTTTCATTCAACAACAACAAAAAAAAAAAGTGGAACACATGAAGATTGATATCTCAGGCATTAGAGAGCTGAAATGGACTGGTTTTGGTCATTTTGCATCAGACAGTCATGTGGTTGACTATGCTAGAAATGACACGTTGAAGAGAAATGGTATCACATTCGTTGTCAAAAAGAATGTTTCAAGATCTGTCCTGAAGTACAGTGCTGTCAGTGATAGGATAATATCCATACCCCTACAAAGAAGACCAGTTAATACTAGTTGTTCAAATTTACATACCAACCACTAAAGCCAAAGATGAAGAAATTGAAGATTTGTACCAACTTCTGCAGTCTGAAATTGACCAAACACGCAATCAAAATGTATTGATTATTACCGGTGATTGGAATGCGAAAGTTAGAAACAAAGAAGAATCATTAGGTAGTTGGAAAATGTGATGATATAAATGATTCCAGAGATCACATGATGGAATTTTTCAAGTGCAATTACTTATTCATTACAAATACCTTTTTTCAACATCATAAACAGCAGCTATACATGTGGACTTTACCAGATGAAATACACAGGAATCAGATCAACTACATCTGTGGAAAGAGACAATGGAGTGGCTCAATATCTTCAGCCAAAACAAAGCCCGGAGCTGATTATGGAACAGACCAACAATTGCTCATATGCAAGTTCAAGTTGAAGCTGAAGAAAATTAAAAACAAATCCATGGCAGCCAAAATATGACCTTGAATTTAGAGTCCACCTGAATTTAGAGACCATCTGAAGAATACATTTGATGCATTGAATACCAGTGACCAAAAACCAGATGAGTTGTGGGATGATATCAAGAATATCATACGTGAAGAAAGCAAAAGGTCATTAAAAAGACAGGAAAGGAAGACCAAAATGGATGTCAGAAGAGACTTGAAACTTGCTCTTGAATGGAGAGTAGCTAAAGCAAATAGAGCAAATAGAGGAGCTCTGGTAGCATAGTGGCTAAAGCACTTGACTGCTAACCAGAAGGCTGGTGGTTCAATCCCACCAGCCACTCCTCGGAAGGAAGGTTGGGCAATCCTACTTCCGTAGTGATACTGCCTCGGAAACCCAAGGAGGGGTCGCTATGAGTCGGGGCCGACTCGACGGCACATGACAACAACATGACAAAGCAAATAGAAGAAATGATGAGATAAAAGAGCTGAACAGAAGATGTCAAAAAGCAGCTTAGGAAGACACAGTCAATTATAATAAAATGTGCAAAGACCCGGAATTAGAAAACCAAAAGGGAGGAACATGGTCAGCATTTCTTAAGCTGAAAGAACTGAAGAAAAAAATTCATGCCTCAAGTTGCAATATTGAAGGAGTCTATGGGCAAAATATTGAATGATGGAGAAATCATCAAAAGAAGATGGAAGGAATACACAGAGTCATTGTAAAAAAAAGAATTGGCCAATGTTCAACTATTTCAGGAGGTGGCATATGATCAAGAACCCATAGTACTGAAGGAGAAAGTTGAAGCTGCACTGAAAGATTAGCAAAAAACAAGGCTCTAGGAATTGATGAAATACTTACCCACTGAGATATTCCAACGGGTGCAGTACTGGAGGCACCTACTCATCTATGCCATGTAATTTGGAAGACAGCTCCCTGGCCAACCAACTGGAAGAAATCCATATTTGTGCCCCCAAAGAAAGATGACCCAACAGAATGTGGAAAGGATCAAACAGTATCATTAATATCACATGCAAGTAAATTTTTGTTGAAGATAATTCAAAAAAGGTTGCAGCAGTACATCGACAAGGAACTGAGAGAAATTCAACCTCGATTCAGAAGAGGGCAGAGAATGAGGGGTATCGTTGCTGATGTCAAATGGATCTCAGTTGAAAGCAGAGAATACCAGAAAGATGTTTACTTGTGTTTTATTGACTATGGAAAGGCATTTGACTGAGTGGATCATAACAAATTATGGTAACATTGTAAAGAATGGGAATTCCAGAATACTTAATTGTGCTCATGAGGAACCTGTTCATAGACCAGGAGGCTGTTGTTTGATTAGAATGAGGAGAGACTGCATGGTTTAAAACAGGAAGGGTATGCATCAAGGTTGTATCCTTTTACCATACTTATTCAATCTGTATGCTGAGCAAATAATCTGAGAAGGTGGACTGTATGAAGAAGAATGCAACATCAGAATTGGAAAAGACTCATTTACAACCTGCAATATGCAGATGACACAACCTTGCTTGCTGAAAGTGAAGATGACTTGAAGCACTTACTAATGAAGATTAAAGACTGTATTCTGCAATATGGATTACACCTCAACATAAAGAAAACAAAAATCTTCACAACTAGACCAATAAGCAGCATCACAATAAACGGAGAAAAGATTGAAGTTATCAAAGATTTCATTTTACTTGGATCCACAATCAGCACCCATGGAAGCAGCATGCAAGAAATCAGACATCGTATTGCATTGGGCAGATCCATTGCAAAAGGCCTCCTTAAAGTATTGAAGAGCAAAGATGTCACATTGAAGACTAAGATGCACCTGATCCAAGCCATGGTATTTTCAGTCACCTCATATGCATGTGAAAGCTGGACAATGAATAAGGAAGACCAAAGAAGACCTGATGCCTCTGAATTACGGTGTTGGTGAAGAATACATGGACTGCCAGAAGAACAAACGTCTGTCCTAGAAGAAGTGCAGCTGGAATGCTCCTTGGAAGTGAGAATGGGCAGCCTTCGTCTCACCTAACTTTGGCCATGTTGTCAGAAGGGACTGTTCCTGGAGAAGGATATCATGCTTGGTAACATGGGGATCAGCAAAAAAGGAGAAGACCTGCAACAAGACTGGCCCACTGGCTGCAACAATGGGCTCAAGTATAACAAGTATTGTGAGGATGGCCCAGGACTGGGCATTGTTTCATTCTGTTGCACATCTAGTGGCTATGTGCTGGAGCTGACTCCACAGCACCTAATAACAAGGGTAGGATTGTATAGCTGTCAATAACTTGTATGCCTGTGAAAAGTTGAATTGGCAAAAATTGTATGATAGATACATATTAACAACAATCACCAAGAGGAAAAAAAAAAAGGCTGCTCATGTACAACGAAACACCTCATGGTATTTGGTTCTTTGGTGTGGAGGCTTAGGGTCATGGTTTCATTGGACTTCCCAGTTAATTTGCCTAATAACATGTTTAGTGCCTCTGTTCTGTCTCCTAATACATTGAGCAGTGTCTGGAGTTTTAAAAGCTTGCTAACAGCCATCTAAGTCACAATAATTGGTCTCTGTTCACTTGGAGCAACAGAGGAAGAAGGACAATTAGGAGTAAGAGGTAGATAGAGGATATGTGACTAATTGCCTCCATAAACAACTGCATCCTTTGCCATGAAACCAGAAGAACTGGATGGTGCCCAGCAACCATTACTGGACATTTTAATCAAAGATCCCATAGAAGAATCCTGATCAAAGGGAGGAAAATGCAGAACAGAATTTCAAATTCTCGTAGACTCTTGACTCTCTGTAATGCCATGGAGGGTGGATGAACTCCTCAAACTTTTGCCCTGAGAAAATGTTTAAAGCTTAATCCAAAAATATCCCCTGTAGTCCTATATATCTGTATCTATATCTATATCTATACACACACACACACACACACATATACATATACATATATATATTTTTTAATTGCATTGTTCCCTCCCCTCCTCTCCCACCTTGGTAATCAACAAAGAAAGTTTCCTTCCATATATAAACCTTCCCTTGTCCCCTGAAGTCTTCTTAAAGCCAAACAGTAGTTTAGCTTAACTGGTTTAAAAAAAGGAAAAAAAAAAAAGGTCTGCCTTGAGGATTACGCTCTTTTAAGAACTATCCGTATCAGAAGGAAAGTTGGGCATCTACTTCCGTAGTGATAGCGCTTCAGAAACCCAAGGAGGGGTCGCTATGAGTCGGATCCGACTCCATGGCAGCGTGTTTGGTTTTGGTTTTGGTATATAGGATCAAATTGACAACAACAACTGAAAAGATTAGATAGGAACTTTAGGGGGCAGTGAGTTTATGTTACTGGGGGAGGCAATCTCAAAAAAGATGGGTGAAAATGGTCGCACAGCTTGAAGAATGTAATCAGTGTCACTGAATTGTGTTGAACCAGTGTGTGCTTTGCTGTGTGTATTCTCAACAACAACAACAAAGAATTCCAAGATGAAAGAATGGGTAGAGACAAAGCCAGTTTACTTTAGCGTCCTCTATTACTGCCCAGCAGAGAGAAGACTTTCACTGGAGATGGGGTTGTTGCTTTTTTTGATCATCTCTTTTTCACATCCATTGTTATGGTTAGCATAAGAGAAGAAGAGTTAAGTCTTTTTCTCTCACTTTCCATAATATTTTTAGAAAAGATTTTCACCTGGTATGTCTTTCATAACTTCCTTCAAATTCTCAAGTCTCAGAATCTCAAAGTCTGATAGTCATGAATAACCCCAAATTGAAGAATAGTGATACTGGAATTTAATCCCCAAAATCATAACAGTAAAACCTGCCATTTTCATACAGAATATTTTCTCTGACTTGTAGCTGAATTTGTGAAGCTGGCAGAACTGCCATGCCTGGAGGACCTGGTGTTTGTAGGCAATCCCTTGGAAGAGAAACACTCTGCTGAGGGGAACTGGATTGATGAGGCGTCCAAGAGAGTGCCCAGGCTGAAAAAGCTGGATGGTGAGTGACTGGGAGCTCTGGCTTGGAACCAGCTTGGAAGTGTTTTCTATGAATAAGAATGAATTTGTGGCATGGAATGATGAAAAGAAGCAAAACTAAAGAAAGAGACAGGTTGTCTGTAATCTCCAAAGCCATTTCTGTGCACATGAAATTTAATGTTCCATATTTGGGTCAGGGTGAGAGAAAAACTCCTAGGGTATTCAGACTGGCACAAGATCATCCCTAGACCAAAAGCATATAAGTCACAGAAGTATTAGTTTGCAGAATAAGTAGACATAAATGAAAAGTAATTGCTTTTGCACAGTTGGGTGAAAAGTAAAGTCTTTTCTCTTGCTTTCTCACGTTCTCTCTTTCCTAATTTTTATTTCTCAGTACCTAAGATTGGTGTTGGGAGCTCTGGTGGCATACTGCCTAAGGCATTTGCCTGCTAACCAGAAGGTAGTGGTTCAAACCCACCAGCCACTTCTCAGAAGGAAGATTGGGCAATCTACTTCCGTAGTGATACCACCTCAAAAACCCAAGGAGGGGTCACTATGAGTCAGATATGATTCTACGGCAGTGAGTTTTTTTTTTTTTTTTTAAGATTGGTGTTAATGCCAATAGATGTTCCTGACTGACTGGGTTTATGTCCCAGTTCATTCATTTAATAGCATTTGTGACCTCATGCTACTTGATTAATCTCACAAAACTTTGTTCTTTTGTAATCTAAAAACTACTAATGATAATAGTACCATTATTAATCATTCCACATTAAGCACTGAAAACAGTACTTAGCACAAAGTAAGTATTCAACAAATATTAGTATAATCACTTTAGCAAATTTTAGTATCAGTCCCCAAACTCAGGTATACAAGAGTTATTTCAATATAAAGAGATCTAGTTTTGACTATGAGTACCACTACCACCCAAATCCAACTCAGCTGGGCTGTTAAGAAATTTAATCTTTTATTCTCAAGGTCCTTCTAGCAATATACTACCATTCTGGGGCCAAGTCATGAGGAGAGATTCCAGAGTTACCACTGAAATACCTATTGTCCCCATTCCCATGGCCCCTTCAGGACTAATGACTCCCTGCTACTTCCATGCTACTCTTGGGTTATGAAAAGTTTTTGAGAATTATATTCTTGATGCGTGTAGGATTCTTTCTCTAGATAAAACACACAGTCATTCCTGTGTGGGTCTTGCGTCCTCTTAGTGGTGCTATCAGGAGGCAGGGCCAGAATTTCTACTGTTCCATCATCCATAGACCTAACCTCTCTTCTGCCCACTCTCTCTGGCCAGCGAAAGCTCCTCCTCCCCTTCCTTCTCCTGCTCATGGTTCTGTATCATTTCACATCTGTATTTTCTCAGTGGTCTTCTTAGGCTTTTCAAAGGCAAAAGTCAGAAAGTCTTAGGGGCTGTTCCTGATTTCTACACAGCCCCTGAGGTGATGAGCAAACAGCCCTTGAGGTAATGACCACACTGCTCCTGAAGCAATACACACTGCTGAAGGGACTGCCATAGGAAGCTGGTGTGGAAAAAAGGACCGAATACTGAACTTTAGCTAGAAGTGGTGAGGAGGGATGGAAAAACAGAGGAGGAGCCTATCTGATTGAATCAGTGAGGAAAAAAATACCCTAGGGATTTGTAATATCCACCCATATGATGATGGTCATCATACCATGTACCAGATGCATAGTTTCCTTGTAGTGATGCTGTTCTTCACCCATCATGGAGGAGACCTTGATTGGTGTGAGCCAGAACTTGTCTCTGCCTTTCCCTTAGCAGCAGAAAGTTGTTTTTTATTCCCTCACTTTAGCTACAGTGGGTTTTCCACATGCCCTAAGGAAAGCTGGGTTTGTTTCTTTTCTTTCAACGGTTTAAGGTGTTATCTGTATTCTGTGTACACAGTTTAAGACCATGTTCGTATTCCATATTCACATTCAGAACAAAGGACGTAGTCTTCTATGGTTAAGGTTTTCTTGTCCCTCAACCCTTCTCACCCCTTCTCACCACTCTTGTCCCTCATCTTCCATTTTGCTTGGTCTATTCTCTGTCTCTCCATCCCTCCTCACTAAAGTTCTCCTAGCTAAAGTTCAATAGTCAATCCTTTTGTTCACACCAGCTTCCTATGGCAGTGGTTCTTAAGAAACTGGCTACAACCCTATGGAGGGACATTTCAGAACCTGAGGAGAGAGGAAGGAAAGGGTTTCTAATTTGAAAAATTTTACTGCTATGCTGCTGTATGGAGAGATGTTCTCATCTCTCCTGCAGTTGAGAATTGTTGGCCTAGAAGGCTCCTCAGTAGCTCTCTTCCTACACCAAAAAAAAAAATGTTAACAGCTTGATTGAGGTAAAATTCACATAGAATAGCCTCCACTATTTAAAGTATACAATTTGATAACTTTTGACATATTTATACATTTATGGATCATCATCATAAGATAATGAACATATAGTGCATCCTCCCCAAAACTTTCTGCATGCCCCCCTTATAATTCTACCTTTTAATGTAGATCTGAATAGACCAAGCTACATTATGGCCCTTTGAACCAAGATTGTGACCTCAAGCCAATCTAAACAGACTCTTGAAAAAACAGTTGGTACTATTGTAAACCAATTGGGAATAGAAAAGAACAGAGACGCCCACAGCTTTTAAGTTGCTATTTTTATTCCTCTTTTGTTGCTTATAAGCTAAACTGGAGGTTATTAAAAAGCTAAGCTGAAAAAGACACACAACACCAGATGTTAATGAAGATGTGGAACAGCTAGAACTTCCATATCCTTCTGGTGGTAACTGGATATAACCATTTTGGAAAACTAGCATCAGCTGCAAAATCTCTACATGCACATCCCTGTCATTCACCAGTTCCTCTCCTAGCTATATACCCAACAGAAAAAAGGGGCTATGTGTTTACCAAAATACATGTTTGAGAATGTTCATAGCAGCACTATTGCAATAGCAAAAAATTAGAAGACAACAGAACAGATACAGGTTATGCATGTCATGCAATGGAATATTAAACAGCAATGAGAATGGACTACAATGTCATACAACATGGATGGGTCATAAAAACATAACATTGAACAAAAGAAGCCAGATACAGAAGAATGCATACTGTATCATTCCATTCTTATCATTTTAAAAACAGGCAAAATAATCTATGATGTTAGGCATTAGAATAGAATATACTTTTTGAAGAGCGGGTAGTGACTGGAAGGGGTCCTGAAGAAGTTTCTGGGGTGTTGGTAATGTTCTTTCTTACTCTGGGTACTGGTTACCAGATGTGTTCACTTTGTGAACAGTTATCAATTTGTACATTTGTAATTTGTGCACTTTGAATGTATGTTATACATCAATAAAAAGTTTACTTTCCTCTGAAGAAAAAATATATGTCAGTTGAAGAATACAGATGTGGGTGTGTGGGTGGAACCTCACTGCTGTTGAGTCAATTCGACTCATAGCGACCCCTCCTTGGGTTTCCAAGGCAGCATCTCTACAGAAGTAGATTGCCCAGTCTTCCTTCCTAGGAGTGGGTAGTGGGTTTGAACGGTCATCCTTCTGGTTAGCAGTGAGATGCCTTAGGCACTGCACCATCAGAGCTCCCAGATGTGTGTGGGAGACAGAGGTAAAGTTATGCTTACTGCCGTAAAGAACATGAATTTACATCTAGAAAGTATCACAGAGGAAAAAGGATTGGATTTAGTTCTTGAATGAGGATAGGATTTGGATACGGGGAGAACTGGGGAGGGCACTCCAAAATGGAGGAACTTTGTTCACCAAGAGTCCAGAGGTAAGATTGTGTACAATGAGTTTGGGAGACAACGAGTTAATAGCTCAGGAGGAGTAGAGGGTGAATTGCTGAAGAGTTAAGATTGGCTAGTAGGCTGGGGTCAAATTGTAGCAAGGCTTTAAAATGCCAGAGGCTGGAAATGGCTGGTCCTTGGCCCAGTTAGGGTCTGTGGGTGTGTTTTGCTTTGTCTACAGTGGTTCTTTTTTTTTTAAAATTTTTCCTGAGTGTTGAATAATTTCAGAAGTTCACATAAAGAATTCAATTTCCAGTAACACTGGGATTATATATTTTATTGTGGAAAATGAAGAATATTCCTTTATGCAAACAAAGTTTTTAATGTTTACAGGGCTTATTTTATTTTTCTGCCTGACACCGTAGGCATTTTTATGCGCAATCCTACATTTGGGAAGCTCAATAGTGTTAAGTATTTGTCAATCCATTTGAGAGATGTCTTGTAGAATTAGAAACTGAAGAGATTATTTTATGAAATGATTTTTATTATGGCACACTTCACAGCATCTCAGAGCTCCTTAGGTGAACAAAAAAACATTTTCAGTTAGAATATTAGCAGTCTGTTGAGAATGATCAGAAATAATTTTATTTCTCATTTTAGGTACCCCAGTAATTAAAGAGGATGAGGAAGAAGAAAACTAACACCACATTTTCTGCTATGTCTTAATTTATTTAAATGTCTTAAGAATAATAGATAAGTTTTGTGTAATTGTCTATTTTAAAGATTGTGTGTGGGTCAAAAGATTCTTAAGAAGATAAAACAAATCTATAATTCCCATTTCTTTTTTTAACATATTCAAACAGTATGTCTCCCTCAAAATAACAATACCAACTTTACAAACTCTAGCCTTTTTAGAAACTACAAATTCTCAATTTCTGTCTTCAGTTCCAGTTATGTACTGTGTGGTCCTATCTATCGAAAGCTTTGTGGCTATCGAAAGCTTTGTGGAGCCATCATTTTTAACAACACAGGAACAATTGTGGTTCTTTATTCAGTTTTAGACCAGGCATATTAAAAGATATACTTTGGCCTCTGTGGACCACCCTTCCTGAAGGTTCATCTCCTTACTTTATGACTCAGAAGCATAAACATGTCATGCCTTTGGTTCAGAAGGCAGCATGATGACAGGAAGAGCTAAATACAGCATTAGCCCTGGACCCAAAAATGCAAAACCCAATTAGAAAAGTTACTGTAAAAAAAAAAAAATTAGTGTCTTGGAGCCTTCGTAGCCCATGTTATATCTATTTTTGTTTTTCCAAAAATGTGTGCATGATCAACTGGAATTTAGGTTGTGTTTACATGTGTGGCCACTCGAGTCACTGTGTACAATCAGTCATTTTGGTGATCCAGGTCACTGGTTAAAATGACTTCCATGATCATTCCTTTTTTCAATAATGTAGTCTTGTTGCTCATGTGGACCTGGCCCTAGGCACATTTTTTGGTTTATATTTCCTTATGTTTAAAAAGTAGCTAATATTTGAATCTCTAGCCCAGATAATATGTGTCCAAATTTGCCCTAATGACTTTGGTGAGCCTCCTTGCTGGGGAAAGTGATTGTTATGGTTATAACCGGATAGAACTTAAAAGACTGGATTTGGAAACTTTCAGTAAATGAAAGTTAGTGTTTCAAAATATATTTTTTGAGAAGATCTAAGTTAAGCACCTCTTTAAATGTGTTATGTAAGTGATTGTGGAGAAAAGAGAAGAGAAAAGAGATGTTTTGTTCCGGGATTCCAGGCAAAGAGCAGTATTTTTGAAGACTGCCTCCTACATGATGCATTGTTGCTATTTAACTTCAAAATTGCAAAGTGGTAGTCAGAGGAAGAGCTTAGAATTTATCAGGTAAGAAAACAAATTCTATGGTATTTCTCTTCCTGGCAAATGCAAGGCATTGTTGTCAGCAACCAGATGAAGTCCATAGCACGCAGTGACTGAATCATAATAGATTGCAGAAGAAAAGCCAGGAGCCCTCTGCCAAATTGTGCCTAATGTCCCTCAACCAGAGACTACTGATTCTTACTTCCCATCTATACAGTTAAAAAGGGGAAGAGAGTCATTTAAAAAAAGTGTTTGTGTAAGTAGTCTTGGGTTTCAGAAGTTTTCAACTATCATTTAGGTAGGAATTACTTGATTTTTCTACAAGTCAATCTGATCAAAAGGGACCACTGCTCTGACAATCAACTCTAAATACAAACAAGAGGAAGAAGTAGTCTAACACCTTTTTTGTTGCCTTTTAGCTCTTCCTTACAATCTGGTAAGAAGTAAATCTTTACTCTCCTCTGATTAGATTGTACATTCAAGGCTTTTGGGCATTTCTTTTGTGAACTATAAAGTCATGAACCTTCGTTCCCCTTGGTGGCTAAGGCCCGTAGGCTGAGAGGGAAGATGATCTTTACTTGCAGTTTGCACTTCATCCAGTAGGCAAGCTTGAAGCCATATTGCTAGGTATGGGTGTATTTTCTAAAAGTTGTCCTGAAAGTGAGTATGATAGGATGATTTCATATTGAATTTATTTTTAACATGGCTTACAGTTTTATAGCTTGGCTTTTCTCAACTTGGTAGTATAGGAACTAGTTTTCTCTTTTCTCCTTGTTTCTTAATGTTTTTAAATCAGTTGTTGTTTTTAGAAATATAAGGTGCTTTTCTGCGTCCATTTCACAGAAAATTCATATTCAGGTGTACTGCACAGCTATCTGAACATCTCTCTGTATCCCTTCATGGAGCTGAAGCCAGAATCCATTAGAAAATGGAAGGGAGTGTGTATGAGGAGGTTCAAGATACTCTTGCATATCATTCCCCAAATCATCTTTTACTGCTGTAAATTTAGCTGAGAGTAAATGCCTTGGTTTATGCCTCACCGATTGGATAGATATTTGACCCACTAGGAGTGGGTTCTCTCTGTGCTTCTGTTTTAAAGCATTAAGCCATTTTAATGGATCATTTACATCTCTTTCTTCTAGTAAATAAAGATAGAACTCTGGTATCAGTTCAGCATTTTAATTTTTCATGGGAAATTTGATTTTCATGTACTAAGGAAATCAACTTTTCTGTGTTCCCTAACTCTAAGCCTATGGCCATATTACCTGGCCAGGTCTTAAAAGGTTATTGTGTTTTTTGTTAATAAGAGTTTCTTTAAACCAGGGTTTTTCAACCTTGGTACTATAGACATTTTGGGCTTTGGTGGCTGTCCTATGTTTTGTAGGATATTTAGTAGCATCCCTGGACTCTACCCACAAGATGCTAGTAGCACTCCCTCCCCAATTGTGACATCCAGAAATATCTTCAGACATTTCCATCTGTCCCTGGGGAGTGGTAGTAGAGTGGGCACATTCACCCCTGGTTGAGAAGCAGTGCTTTAGCCTTGATTCCAACATTGCTTTTTTCCAGAGTTGGTTCATTTTCACTCTGTAGCTGCTGCCACCTGAGTTATAGTATATGAGAGAAGACAGTGTATTTATTAGTGATGAATGGAAAGAAATGGCCACTGGGTTTCTCCTTTTTTGTGTTGCTCATTTCCATCCTGTTCACAGATCATTAGAAACTCAGGGCTGGAAGGTTCAACTTCCTTGTTTTTAGCAGTTCTCAACTTTTCATTTCTTGTCATGCTTGCTTATTTTAGGACAGTGATCACTAACCTACCTCTCTCTCAGTAGCAGCAGAATCCAACTTTGTTCTAGATTTTGCTTTGTCTCTAAAGTTTAACATTTTTAGTGTGTTTTAGAAAATGAATTATCATTCTTGTTCAGTAATGCACAGAATTCTGTGGACTGTAGCAGTCATTAAATGCATAAATATACTGTGTAGAGTTTGGTAATTCTTTGTGAAAATTAACTGTGTAGACATCGATTGTGGATGTGATCAGAATGTCTGCTCATAGTAACTGGTCAGTAAACAGAGGTGTTAACAAACACTTAAATATGGTTTCTTTGTGGAAAGGAAAATTGTGACTTGAGTAGATACTTATTCTGATACCTTGACCAGTGATCTGAAGCAAAATGAGGAGGAATGAATCTTGACTATTGCTTTATTCTCAGAATTGGGGATGTGTAGAGTTGAAGGTAGTTATTTCTGTGACCCAGAATCTTCCACCTAAGTTGTTCTTAGGATTGTATGGAAAAGTGTAGGGCCCAGGAACGAATTTAATCATTCACCTAAAAAAATTTGTGAGCTATCAAAGCACTGATCATTAGTAGAGTAGTTAATGTCTCTCTGACTATAGTCAGACCATCAGTTCACTAAGACCTTCATACGTCGTTAAGTATTGGTAAAGGTAGAAAACTGCTAAACTGCAAATAATCCTTTGCCAAAAATGTATTCCTTTGGCATACCTTTTGTTTATTTGGGCTACCTAATGTGTCTGTAAATAATGAAACACATATGAAAAAAGGTTCAGTGTAGCGGAGCTGGTGCTTCTGACACAGATAACTTGACCATACTCCTTTCTCTGCACTCTAGCATGCGTCTCATTGTTTTTGTTGTTGCGGTTATTTATTTATTTTTTTGTAAAACCATAAAATAGGTGCAATAGAAAAATTAAGAGTTGTGTTTTAAATCACTACACTTTTAGAAATCTCATACTATTCTTGCCTTTTTATAAATCAGTGACTGCAACAGAAGAAAACTGAAAGGAAGAAATAGACTCAGTCTTACCTCTTTTTGATCGGATCTAAGATAAATTGAGTAAAACTTGACAGTTGGAGAAGTCATAACTATAATTCTAATTAGTTTCCCATATTGGGCACGTTAGAGAGGAACCAGCCACTTGAATTATGATCTAATAACTGTAACAAAGTGGTGAGGGTGAGTAAACTATTTTTCAGTAGATTTGCACTTTAAAATTATGAACTGGATGTTGGTGGAAAGTATTCCCAAAGGGCAGATGAGTAAATACCTAGCCTGCATGTGGATGTTACACAGATCTCACCCATGCTGTTCTAAGCCCACATGAGCAGTAGCTGTTTGCCGGCCTAATCAGAGTCAGGATTTCCCTATTTGATACCTTCTTCCATGTCTACTCAGAATAGAAACTTTTCATCTGTCTTCCCCACATGTAGATTTTAAAATGTGGATGTTGGCTAAATTTAGTTGTGGCTAACGTTGTGTGGTGAGAAGCTCTTGGTGTCTTTGGTCAGCAGGGTGCCTGCCTCTGGAGTGCTATTGCTTAGAAGGCTAAATCCATCAGAAGACCTGTGCGCATTGGCAGCTGAAGAGAATGCACATCTAGCTAGCTCCTTCTCTCAAGCTGTCCAGTCATGACCACGGGCATCATTCCAGAGTCTTTGGCTTTTAGAACCAACTCCAATCGGAAGAACATTTTAATGTCTATTAATACTTTGGTAATAATCTTTTATACACAGGAATTTTGTAGCATGACTTTATGACTAAATTTATTATGTGTTAAATTATTTAGAAATGTTGAGTTTATGACTGTTATTTTGTGAGACTTGTTTTAAAATAGTAATAAATTGTATTATTTTACAAAAAAAAAAAAAAGCGTATCTTTTTTGGCTCATGACCATTAATTTTAGCTAATGTAGAGCAACTGTAATTCCAAAGAAATTCAGCCTCTGGGTTACCTTCCACACAGTTGGTATGTGTGTGAGACTGACTCATTTCTTTATGCTAATTTTTTCCCAGTCTTTCTCTACCAGCACTAATCTCTCCCAGGTTTGTAAGTGCTCTCTA